CAAGCACGTGACAAATGAAATTGAAGTCTTGTGAATGTAGCTCATAGTTAATGCAGTGTGACCTCAGGATCTGCTCTTCCTGTCGTTTTCTGCTTAAGATAGCTTAAACTGAACATGTAGTTGCAGAAATGCCCCTATTATACATTAAAAAGGGTCATATTTCGGTTATATGGGTCTCCAACAACATACTGATATGCATGCAAGGTCAAAAAACACTTTCATGTTCTTATAATATGAATTTATTTTTACCTAATCATCCCAGCGACTCCTATATGAATCATTCACTGGTTCATTTGTTCCCGAACCCTTCCTTGGTGTGAAGCTGATTGGACTTATGACAGCCTGTTTTGATTGGTCGACAGCATTCAGCGCGAGACAGTAAAATGCCCAACCGGGTTTGTCAAGCCCCTGGGTTCCCAACATTGTTATAGAATCCAGTCGCAGCGGATGCCCGAAGCACGATTCATAGCTTACTCAACAGTGTTATTCAGACACCTTACCACCAAAAGTAGTATAGTTAAACACCAGCATATTGCTCCACTCTTAACTATGATACACATTCAGTATTAATCCATACAGTGGCAAAAGCTGAACTACTCTGAACCTTGCCACTGCACGTGTGTAGAAACAGCTGACAGTGGCCATAGCAACGACAAACAGCAGTAGAACACTGTGGCGAGGGGGCGTGGCTGAGAGCCGTGGGAACGTGGTGAGGCCACCGCGTAAGTGGATACACCTGCGGTGCGCACCTGCCTCGGATCCCACGGAAGGAGCTCTGGACCATAAAAGGAGGACCGATGGCAGAGGAAGGCGAGAGAGGACCGGGCCCGGGCATATTGTTTTACTTTTGCTTTCAGTGGAGACTGCCGTCCGTTTGTTTTGATTTAGACGGCAGTCTCCGTGAGGAGCTGCCGTCATTGTTATTAATAAATATTTTAAACCTGCGTCGGTTCTCCGCCTCCTTCTTCCCGGCGGCCAAAGGGCCGTAAACTTCATTACAAACACGAGCTCACAACAACATTTAAATTCATAAACAAAGCAGGGCGCATCACGTTTTTAATGTGGCATTAGAAACGATATGAGAATATATAGAATTAACCGTATACAGAACAAACGGTTACAAGTAACAAAACACAGTTAAATAGATCATTTGCAAGCTAGAGAAAACAATGAGACAGCCTTACACTTATGAAGTGTGTCACGTGCCAGATCTGATTTCATTAATTATCTTGGAGCTTTTCTACTTTCTCAGCTGTAGATCATTTGTATTTGCAATCATTTCTGTGGCACCTCTTGCGTGAAGTGTTAAATGTTTTCAGGGCTTACCTGTACTCTGCTTTGCCCAACAATCAAATCCCCAGCCGGGGAGTTGGTCATTTTCAAAAACCCACAATAGGGGCTCTTTAATGCACTCTTATCATACAACTGAAACATGGAAATGAACTGGCAGATGAAGCAGCAAAACAGGCCATCTCCTTGAAAGTGACAAAATGTTTAATTCCTCCTGAGGACTTGAAACCTACAATTAACTTGTATATAAACGAAACATGATAAAGGGAATGGGGTAACTGCACAAATAATAAATTACATGAAATTAACCCAAAAATAAATGATAGACACTTGGAAAATTATAATTTTGAGACCAGGCATGATCAAACTGTTTTTACTAGATGTCGAATTGGACATTCTAGGCTGACTCATTTGTATTTACTCAATAATGAAGCACCACCTTAATGTAATTACTGCCAGACTGCTCTTACCATGAAACCTATTTTATTGGAATGTGGAAGTATGAATACCATTAGACAAAATTTTTATAAGGAGAGTACTTTGGATAAATAATCTTAAGTTATTTATCTGAAATTGAACTGAAAAATCATATTTAACTTTGAATATATTTTTGTGTGAATTTTATTTATTTATATTTTATATCCAAGTAACTTTTTATTGTAATACAAATTTGCTTTTATCATGTAATATTTATGTATATCTATTTTGCCATATTTCATTGCTGATGTGGCAATCAATCAATCAATCAATCAATCAATGAGTACAATTGGCAAGTGGTTCAGTAAGGAATTTGGTTACATGTATTAAAAGATAACAGCAGTTTGTCTCCTCTGATCCTAGTCTTTGCATTTACTAGGGTGCTAAGCTGTTTTAAATAGATTTATGTGTGAAAAAGTTCCTTCAAAATTTGAGCTCAGAGAATCTGCCGTCTTGCAAAGTGACTCTGGGACATTTTATCCAACATAAATGTTTTAAGAGAAAAATGCTCCACGCTGTATTAGTTAAAGAGTTAAAAGAACTGTTGTTAATCATTAAAAAATCCAGAAACGCATCACTGCAATAAAGATTTGTAGGCAGTGTTTATTGAGCAGCAAATAATGGTTTCTAAAGGATTGTGTATCGCCGTTTTCGTTTTCGCCGGCGTGAGCGTCGAGGAGAGTTGAAATGAAGTCAACTTTATGGTAATGAGCTATGACGCGGTTCGGCGGCAAGCAATCAGAATGAAGACGTCCATCGCTTGATAGCAGTTCAGAGAACACAGACCTGTGAACTTTGGTTCCGACCACAGTTGTTCCCAAGGGTTTGATTATTGCGGTCGCCGGATTTCCAATTATTTACAATTTTTACCTACAGGAACATACATTAAATAAGTTACTGGCGAGTTACTGATGTTCATTAATGTTATATATTTATCTTAAAAAAGCGGGAATCTCACGCGATGTGACAGTACAAAACAGTACGTTACTGCTGCTTCAGGATATTTCAGACATATGGACACATATTGGATAAATAGAGCAAAGCCACACGCAACTTGATCTTCCATTTTTGTATGAATTTTATAAGAAGTGCGCAACATTTTCACGCTAGAAACATGTTTTATGCAGGAATGTAACTGATATGATGCAACGGCTCCTTTAAATATGAGATCAATGTAGCGAGTTTTGACGCTCTCGCCACAGGAGCTGAAGGCAGACAGCGTTGTCGCCAAGGCGTCCAGAGCGACCTTGGACGCTCTCGCCGCTTTCGGTGTGAACGTACGGTTAGTTTATTTTATATTACATGTGTTAACATTGCTGAAATTAAATCACCAAAAAATGAAGGACCACCATTTTACCAAACAGTTAGGATGGGATGTATTGTACTTGCTGGGTAATTCAGAAAGGCAGTTTTAGATCTTCAAGTGTTCTTAGGTTTCAAGAGCTGCAGTTTGATCTAGTGAACAATGTTTTTCTCTTCTGTTCTGAGGAGTCATTCAGCCCATTTCAAAACAATTGTAAATCGGTGTATTATTCCATTTTTGAAGTCTGCTTGTGTGTGCGCTAAGAAGTTTAGCAAGGCATTTGGTTCATGCAAAAACCCATGACCCAACTAAGAAACAGGAGTTACTTCCTGCGTATAGATATGTGATGTAACAGCTGACGCTCTCCAGACCTTCAGGCCTCAAAGGAGGTTCTGCAGCTGGACACTGTAAATGACCTATCACATGGGCATATTTAATTTCTGTTTTGCCATTTTATTCATTGCTATTTGTGTATCTAGAATGATTTGTTCTCTTGAGATTTGGCAATGTTTGTGCTGGTTTTCCCTAGATGTTTTAAATCTACAGTTGAAGTCAGAATTATTAGCCCCCTGAATTATAAGCCCCCTGTTTATTTTTTCCCCCAATTTCTGTTTAACGAAGGGAAAAAAATTCAATACATTTCTTAACATAATAGTTTAAGTAACTCATTTCTAATAACTAACTTATTTTATCTTTTCCATGATGACATAAAATAAATACTAGATTTTTTAAGACACTTCTATACAGCTTAAAGAAACATTTAAAGGCTTAACTAGATTAATTAGGTTTACTAGGCAGGTTAGGATAATTAGGCAAGTCATTGTATAATGATGGTTTGTTCTGTAGACTATCGAAAATACATAGCTTAAAGGGGCTAATAATTTTGACCTTAAAATGGCTTTTAAAAAATTAAAAACTGCTTTTATTTTAGTAGAAATAAAACAAATAAAACTTTATCAAAAAGAAAAAATATTATCAGACATACTGTGAAAATTTCCTTGCTCTGTTAAACATCATTTGGGAAATATTTAAAAAAGGAAAAAAAATCAAATGTGGGCTAATAATTCTGACTTCAACTGAATATTTCCTCTCATTTTTCTCGCATTAATCATTGTAGTTGGCTATTGCACTTTTATTTATAAAGAACTAAATGTTTATAAAGACAAGTAGTTTAAGATTTGGAGCTGAGAGTAACTTATTTATCTTACTGTGACTGAACTGTATCAAAGAAGTCTAAAGTTAATGCAAGACAATCTGATTGAAACAATCGTTAATGCAATACGTATAAATTTACTGCAACTCCTTCCTCTGTATTTTAGTTTTTTAATACCAATATCTAACATTTTTTAAATAGAACAAAAATAATAAATAGAACTATAGCCAGTATACTGCAGAAAGCTTTGGCACAACTCTTCAATTAACTGAATGATGTGAGAAGGTGTATAGAATCGTGCACATAAGTATGCAGACCTCCTTCTACAAACAATAGTGAATGAATGGGTCACACTTAGGAGCTCAGTGAGTTTAAGCATGATATTGTGATAGCATAGTCCATTGGTAAAAAATCCTCACTACAAAATATTCAACAGTCAACAGTTGAAAGCTTCATAGCAAAGTGGAAGCAGTTCAAGCAGAACAACAGCAACTCATTTCATGAAGTGTTAGGTGCATATAGAGCTTAATGCATGGGTTTAGAGTAGGGGTGGGAAGTCCAATTGCAGTTTAATTCCGATTCTGTGGGTCACTATTCCTATGCTTATGTTTATGATGGAAATCTATGTATGACAGTACTTTTATTATTATTATTTTGATTAACAAGTAAATGCTCTGAATGTAACAAAGAAATACTAATTGCAAAGTTTTTATACAGTTCTTATACTTAAATCTGCCGAGCTTCCTAACCTGATTTCTCTCCCTTTTCTTTTGCCAGTGCTGTCTTGTGAAACGAAACCATGGGGAAACAGAACAGCAAGCTCCGGCCTGAGGTGATGCAAGACCTGTTAGAGAGCACAGACTTTACAGAGCACGAGATCCAGGAATGGTACAAAGGCTTTCTAAGGGACTGTCCCAGTGGCAACCTCTCAATGGAGGAGTTTAAGAAAATCTATGGAAACTTCTTTCCTTATGGAGATGCCTCAAAGTTTGCAGAGCACGTTTTCCGTACGTTTGATGCAAACGGCGATGGTACCATTGACTTTCGGGAGTTCATAATTGCATTGAGCGTCACGTCACGAGGAAAACTGGAACAGAAGCTTAAGTGGGCTTTTAGTATGTATGATCTGGATGGAAACGGCTACATCAGCAAATCAGAGATGCTTGAGATTGTGCAGGTATGTGAGCCTGCCTAAATCCTTTATGATTTAACTTAAATGTTGGAACTCAGATCCATTTTTTTTTTCTTTTTTTGATAACTGTTCACAATGTTGTTTTCAATATCGCCAATAGCAGGTTTCCAATGTGAACTGATCATGGTCCTAAACTGACAAGTGTGTGCAAAAGAACAACTACACAAAGTGGAAACTTTCTAATCACAGCGGGGAAAATAAGTAATTAAACACATCAGCATTTTTCTCAGAAAATTTATTTCTAAAGGATGTTGGTAATAACCAAAAAAAAAAATTATAAATCAAAGAAAACAAATCTAATTAGTTGACAAAAATTAATTATGCCTAATAAAATGAATTAATGCAGGGAAAAAGTATTGAACACATGAAGAAAGGAAAGTGTAGGAAGGCAGTGAAAACCCAGACTGCAGCTGAAACCTCTGTGTTGTTCTTCAGCAACCTTCTGCCCTTCCTCATTATAATTATGTATGTCCAAATCTAATCACATGATCGAAAATAGGGCCTGATCACGCGGTTATAGATACGATTGAAATTGGACATTATCCCAGATCAGGACTCGAATATTATTTTTTAACACATCTATAGTTATGCGGTGCCACAGCATGTGGCATGACATCACTTTGTTGCAGAGATGCTATTGGTTAAATGCCTTTGCAAACACTGCGACACTATCTTTTTGTTTACATGCCTGCTGGGTATTTGAAGTTGAGCTATTTGTTTTTATATTAGTTTTTTTATATATATACTGTTGCACTCAAATCCAAAAGTGAAGAATTTATGTTATTTATCATTTAAGCTACCTCACAAACGTGATCTGTTTAAAAGGAACATCCTGGACCTGTTTTTTAATGTATTATAGAACTATCAGATTGAGTTTCAGTATCGGTAGATACTCAAAATGAAATGACTCTGACTCAAGGGGGAAAAAAAATGATCAGGACATTCCTATTGTAAATTAATATAAACTGCTTCAGTCCAACATCTACATTATCAGGATGATGAAATAAAACCATTTCAGGAGGACAATGATCCAAAACACAGCCAAGGAAGCGCTCAAATGCTCTCAAAGAAAGAAAATCAAGCTGTAGAATGGCCCAACCAGTCATCTGACTTTAATCCGATAGAAAATACAAAATAACGCTCCGATTTGATAGACGAGACCCACAGAACCATCAAGATTTTTACACTCTGTTAAAGTCTGTGAAAAAAATCAAACCTGAGCAATTCATGTGACTTCGTTCTCCATATGGGAGTTGTCTATAAGCTGCCATTATCAAAAAAAGCCTTTTATATAAAGGATTAAATAGGTTTCAGTACTTTCTCCATTGGTATTACACAGAGATAATTTTTCAGATTTGTTTTGTTTTATTTTTATTTAAGGAACTAAATCTGGTTTAGTTCCATATTAACAGCTACTTTAGAAATATAATTCACAGGAAAAAACCTGACGTCTTTAATACTTTGCCCGTTCTATGTACACAGCCGTATGATGTTGGAAAAAGCATGTGCACATTGTTTTGCTAGTAGTTAATGTGGATTTCAATATTTGACTTTTAACATAAGAGTTATTTGATTGAAAAAGTTGTGATATATGACAAGTGTGGCTCGCACCTTTCCCTGGCTAAGCCCCAGCCCTTGCGTAAAAGTGGATTCGAATTTAGCAGCTTTTCACGCGACACACTGAACATTCGAATCACTCCACTGTGATCATTCGCTTCAGAGAACAGTCAAGACTGACCATGCTGGTGTAGCGATTGTAGTGAACTGTTCATCGCAAAACGTTAGATCTGTATCGCATTTAACGCCACATATGATAGTGGCACAAAATAGAACTGAAAAGATTCCATGTGGTTTGTGCTGTTCACACTGTCATAACAAAAACAGCTCTGAGTCACATATGGGCAGAGAAATTGGGATTTAAGCCACATTTGTCTGCAGTATGAAAGTAGCCTATGACTGTTGTGGTCTAAAATAGAAACCGACATTTCTTTAGGGAAGCTCAAAAGAGATTCCAACCCAATCCTGCTACCCAATTTTCACATCGCATATGCTTTATTTTTTTCTCACTTCCAGATTGTAGTGTGTTAGCAGCACAGATAGCTGTGGTGTTAGACTGTCAGGAAGCTCCATACTGTAAAGAAAGTCTTATTTCTGTCTTCGATAAACAGGCTTTTAATCAGAGTGCTCTATTTCACATTTGCTCTTGTTGCACTTGGCCATGTTTGTCTTTTGATTCATTCTTGCAAAAAGTGATTCCTCAGGTTTCGATACTGTCAAAACCAACATATTACAGTGTTGCTTCATATTCATTCATATTACAGTGTACCTTTGCATTTTAGCTGTGACCTTGACTAAGGTTGGTGTGTTAATTCATAATTCTCTTTGCCTGGCAGGCTGATGTAAAACTAATGTACTGAATGTGTTAATTATGTATAGACAGGTTGTAAAGTGGATCCCCTGTAGAGTGTATTCTCAATAACTCTCCACAGGAGAGCTGCACTTTACATCATGAATGCTTTTTCAGATGATCAGGTTGTGGGAAATTATAAATAATCTATATTCATCTTTATTAATTTATCATGTTTTATTTTTCTCAGTAGAACTTTTGGTTGATGTTGAATTGTTGTTCAGTAGGGAAAAGGAATGACATTAAACTTTATGTATTGCTGCTTTTTAAGTGATTAGCAAGAATATTCAATTCAATTCACCTTTATTTGTATAGCGCTTTTACAATGTTTGAAATCACAACAAAGTGTAATTAATTGGGAGCAACAGTAACCTCAGCCAAGATAGGCAACTAAGGCCCCGTTTACTCTAATACATTTTAGTTTTAAAACAGCTATTAAACCAGTTTAAAACACTATTGTTTCACCCAGCATTCCTGAACAGCTCTCAGTCTACACCACACCACTGAAAACGCACATCACATGACCACACACACACTCTGGTATGCGCTGCAGCAGATCTAGCCAGATGTGAGCTGTGCTCTTCGGACTGTTCATCAAGGATCTAACGTTTAATTCAATCTCACTATATTTGTTAAACGTGATATTTAATTCATTTTGTTGTCCATATCTAACGACACATTCCCCAACTATGGTCTATTAAATCTATTACTTGTTCTCAGGTAACGTGTTTCGGCTGAGCGCAAAGATATGATAAGATAAACTAGCAGTTCCTTATATCATGTTTTCATTTAATTGTTAAGATAGTGAAACAACGTATCCAGGATGATGTGAATAAGGTTATGAAGTACACTGTTCCCTTTGAAGGTTTACCCAACGTGACCTCGGGAGTATGTTTTGCATATCAAACTTGCAAAGTCTGGAAGAACTTACAAGGAGAAGAAGACTGAACTGTGTGTAGGCTACTTAATATTGAGAAAAAAGCCCCAATCAGATGGGCGAATGTCTTCAGCCCTGTCTCTGTTTTCACATGTCTCCGTTTTCCCCCATCCACACAGACACGTTTTAGAATGAAAATGGCCTCTCCAGCGTTTTCAAAACGTTCCGTTTCCGGAGCTCGAGAACTCCGGCGTAGTGTGGACGGATGGCGTAACCGTAGCAAAACTTATGTGTTTTAAAACTAAAATGTATCAGTATAAACGGGGCCTCAAAGTCATAGTGCCAAGCCTGCGTATTCTGAGTTGCACTGTGTGCAGATGTCACCAACTTTTTGCAGTCGATAACTACAGACCTCTAAACTTCTATTATTACTTATACATTAGTTTATTTATTTCCACAACAAGTGGACAGTGTGCATTAATCAACATTCCTCACGAATGTAAATGTTCCCATTTTAGCCCAAAGACTTTTCATTGGTAGTCTCTTTTGCTGGATGTTTTGACCTAAAACCTTAATAATACAAATGAAATGTATAAACAAGTGTACAAATATACACATCAGCAAGAACCTAATGTTCACAATGTTTATTATTAAGAAGCCATACATTATACATAATTTAAAGGATGCATGTTCTCTAACAGACTGTGGTAATAAATTCTAATGGAAATTTTTAATGGAATAAAGTCAGAGAGAGAGGGATGAGCTAAAGGAGGCATATTCTTGTAAACTACACAACCATTTTTTAGCCCAATCATGTTTTCCCAAGTAAGCAAGTAATATTTTTCAGTTAGTTCAACAATGAAAACTAAACTTTTTTTTCTACTATTTTAATTCCAGATGATTTAAAAAAAGTAGATTTTGTGTTCAGATAAATTTATCAAACTACAATTGATATGAGAGAGAATAAACTTAATATTAACTATCTTTCTAACTAATTATCTTTTTATACTTGTTTTAAAACTGAGAAAGGAGTCTAGATGAACCCTTAGGTCTGGTGTTTAGCCTGTGGGCCACAGCCCCCCAGTGGGCTGTGAGGGAATTGTAGGTTTGCGAAATATTGAGAAATAACTTCCTACTATGCAATCACTATTTGATTTAGCCAATTTATAAAAATATTTATTTTGCTACTTGGCTGTCAGTGGGTCCAGTGCTCCATTCTCTGCTGATATTTACTGCTCTTCCAACACGAGACCTGCACTCGCAGAACTTGATGCAACCAGAACAAGATGAATTAGCCACTAAAACTATTTATTTATTTATTTTTATAAAGCATATACATTGGTATTGAACTAATTTATAGAAGCAAAGCAAGGATGCAATATTAACGCTTCCTTCAGACATGACTAAATCTCTGGTCTTGGTGACACGCTATGTATATTTTATGAAATCATTGGTTGTTTATTTAATAAAGAGTCAGCAGGTTTGAATCAAAATAAATTAATCTGCCACATATAGCGGGTTCATTAAAAAAGTTGCAGTGGGCCATGGAAAAACATGTGCTTGGTTAAATTATTAAAGTTGTTAGCCATTGCCCTAGGTATTTACAGTATAATCTAATTCTCTTCTGAGATAACAATATTCTGTTTTATATCAACATTATATCCTTTAGAGAAGAACATACAAGCTGTTTTGACATTTAATTTTAGATAACACTGATTAAGCCACACTTATTACTTTTGATTAACCATATTTCAACTCATTTGTAAGCTCTTCCACATTTTTTACCAGGTGTACCCACATTCGTTCACAACTCTCATTCCTCTTGTGTGAGTTCTCTTTACAGTTTGAGGTTCAGTGTTTAAATACCAAAAGCTTGTGAATTTAGTTTAAACAGGAATGGTGACGTACTGCGTGGGCTTCTGGTCCCATGTGTCACTTCACTTTCATTTCAACATGAAAGCATCCCTAACTTTAGCGCTCACTGATTGGAAATTTGTTCTCTCGAGTGACAAATCACACTTTTCTGTCTGGCAATACAATGGATAAGTCTAGGTTTGGTGGTTGCCAGGAGAACTTGACTATATTGTGCCAAGTGTAAAGTTTGGTGGAGAGTGGGATTATGGTGTGAGGCTGTTTTCACAATATACACGCTATATACAGTTAGGGTTAGGGTTTATAATTAGGGTTTATATTAGTCAGAATTATAAGCCCCCTTGAATTATTAGACTGCTTGTTTATTTTTTCCCCAATTTCTATTTAACAGAGATAAGATTTTTTTAACACATTTCTAATTATAATAGTTTTAATAACTCATTTCTAATAACTTATTTACTTTATCTTTGCCATGATGACAGTCAATAATAATTTTTCTAGATATTTTTCAAGACACTTCTATACAGCTTAAAGTGACATTTAAAGGCTTAACTAGGTTCATTAGGTTAACTAGCTAGGTTAGGGTACTTAGGCAAGTTATTGTATATAATGATGTTTTGTTTTGCAGATTATCGAGAAAAAAATACAGCTTAAAGGGGCTAATAATTTTGACCATAAAATGGTGTTTAAAAAATTAAAATCTCTTTTTTTTGTTGCTGTAATAAAACAAATAAGTCTTTCTCCAAAAGAAAAAAACTTTTCAGACATACTGTGAAAATGTCCTTGCTCTGTTAAACATTATAATAACTAATAATCCTGACTTCAACTGTATGTAGGCTTGGTTTTTCTGTTGTATGTTTTGAAGAAAGAATCACCTGTTTGTTGTCTCATTCAGGCTATTTACAAGATGGTGTCATCAGTGATGAAGATGCCAGAGGATGAGTCCACACCTGAGAAGAGAACAGAAAAGATCTTCCGACAAATGGACACCAATCGGGATGGTAAGGATGGTCCTTTTTCTCCCACTTTCATGAATCGTCTTTGACAGTATATATTAAAAATACATGGCAGTCTTCTCTCTCGTGATGTGAAATGTATTGTCCCAAACACTGTAATAATGTGTGCACAAGGTTTGTTTCCCTCTCCGTGTTGATTAGTGTGTTGTTTAGTGATTATATTCTGGAAATACTGGAAAACACGCAGGGTTACACACAATTTATTCATGTTGACTTAACACAAATTGACCAAACTGACAAATTTAAGTAACATAAAACAATTAAGTTGTCATAAAAAATCTCAAGAATTGTTTTATCAGCTCATTTTTTTAAAAAAGTTGTGTGAATAAAAAAGCAGCAAAATCTTTTTTGACTGTACCTAAAGCAAATGATGATGATAATAATAATAACAAATGTGCTCTAGCATAAAGTTTGTCTTTGTTCAAGCACTCTAATACAACATATTTAAATGTACCATGCCACTATAAAAAGTCTTACATAATTGAGTGCTGTGAAGAGTCCTATTAATGGTTAAACAAGATATAAGACTGTTCAACTTTTCTGGGTAAGAGTGTGCTGCCACTTGAGGACTGAGAATCACACAGATTGATAATGTGGAATGTAAAGCGTTCACTGATTCTATAGTCTATAGATATATTTCCTGCTCTTTCTTGACCAGTCTCAAAGGGCAGACACATATTTTAGTATTTGCGTAGAGAAAATGTACTATCTACTTTAAAGATTACAGTAAAAACTCCAAACACTATGCACAATTAAAATCAAAAGAAGCCATGCAGGCTAATCGTGGACTAAAAGTGATTTAAGAGGGCCTGTACGTTAATCATTTCATGAAATCTCACTGCGGTAGCACTGTACAAATGCGCTTTGATTCTTAGCATTGTTCGCTGCCTGTTTTTATGTATTTTTTTTATTATATATTTTTAAGGACTGTACTGCCACCTGCTGACTGATACTGTAATTAACACTTTTGGGACGAGGAGTTGTATGTTTTTCTGTGTGCATGTGATGGTCAGATATAAATCTACCTGTATTTATTATGGATTATATTAAAACTAAAACAACAATTTAAAACTTAGGTCATCCCTCAGATTTCTCTAAATTACTCTGAAGTTTTTATTTTATATCATACATTTAAAATGAGAATGTTATTTACCAGTTATAAAATCATAAAATTTTCCCAGAGATGGGTTGCGGCTGGAAGGGCATCCGCTGCGTTAAAACATACTGGATAAGTTGGCGGTTCATTCTGCTGTGGCTACCCCGGATTAATAAAGGGACTAAGCCGCCAAGAAAATGAATGAATGAGGATGAAAATCATTAAATTCTGGAACACAAAGGAATAATTCAACCAGACATTTCATTTTTATTCACCCTTAGGTCTTGTATCATACATGTGGATTTTTTTTTCTTCAGTTTAACACTGAATACTATTTGCAACATTATTACTGTATTATTATCCACAGCCTCTGCAAACAGTCCTGACCCTGTTCATGACAATGTCCTGGGCCCAGTTTTTAAAAATAATTTAATTCGGATTTTTGCTATCCAGGATTAACTGATCTATCTTACTTTTATGTCAGTTTTTTAAAAGAAACATTGGATTGGATCACTGTGATCCAAATACCAAATTTCAGGAATACCAAATCCTGTTTTCCACAGACCAACAATGTAGCCTTCTGGCTTAGCAAAGAACAACAGGTAGGCAAAATACCAGTGGCCAAAAACAGCCATTGTTTGTTTTAATGGTAAAAAACAAAAACACTGTAATCAAGATTTACATTTTTAGTTTGTTCTTATACAAAACTGCTTTGATATTGTTTTGTTGTTGTTGTTGTTGTTGTTGTTTTCTATATCTCATTAGATGTGTGATGTTTCATATAGGCTTTAAAATATGAAAGAATTTATATATCATCAGTGACTATTAAGTTGATTATTTACTTAAAAATAAAACCTTTTTTTATTTTATTTGGTTTATTTGGTTAAAATCACAACTGAAACCAACCTTCTGATGAAATCAAGATAATCTTTTTTTTTTTTTTTTTTTGATCAAGTAGATCCCAATCTGAATTCAATGTTTTGAATAACCTAAAGGGCAGGTTTGATCTAAATCAAATGTAAGATTGGATTACATGGTCTTATCTTAATTCAAAATATCTCTGTTACTTTGAAAAACCCATTTCCAATATCTGATTCCATCCGTGATCCAAAGTCCCACTGGATTAATTTTGAAAAACTGGCCCCTGGTGTGTAATGATGTTCAACAAACTGTGGAAATCTTTTAAGTTGAGACTGCACACACAAATCGTCACCTTAGTGTTATAAGGTTCTATCTGACATTTTTGTGAAAATTGAGTTACTGACATGTTCATATTAAATTACATTATATTTACATTATGGGATGTTTTTTTTTTATATAAATAGTTTACATTTTAAGACTTTTCATTCAAAAAAAAAATTACACACACATTGTTTGCTATGAAATGCAAAAACTTTGAAGCTCAATATCTCAAAATCATTCAGAGCGCAGATAGAACCTTATAATTATAAAGCAGATAGGTGACGAAATGTAATGTTCTTTTTTTTTTTTTTTTTTTTTTTTTTAGAGCTTACAGCATCAAGCAATGGTGTAAAGTAATGGATTACAAATACTCAAATTACTGTAATTGATTAGTTTTTTAAGAATTTGTTATTTACTCAGTAGTTTAAAAAAAATTACTTTTACATTTTAGTTTTGTAAAATGTTTTGCTTTTACTGCACTGTTTTCCTTCAACCTGCAGTTTCTACTTTTGTGTATATTTTTTCTTATCTATGGTTTTTGGTTAAGATACAAATGACACAATACCGCATATCACTAATGCGAAGAAAAGGTGCCAAATGTACTAAATTAATTATAAACTCGAAGGTTTGATTTTTCAATTATATGCACCAATTGCATGTATTTTGTCAATGCTTTTTTAGCTTTTAATGTGTAGTGACATCTAGATTTTTGGCCCTCAGTATAGATTTCACTCCTGTTTGCATACTAAAGGTGCACTATAATAATCTATTGTCTTCTCACATAAAAAAAAAAAAAAAAAAAAAAAAAAAAAAAATATATATATATATATATATATATATATATATATATATATATATATATATATATATATGGCTGATTCCAGCGTTATGGATGTGACATTTGCAGTAAAAATTCAAAACATAAATTCGCAGAGAAAGTATACGTTAACATTATATTGAACCATCTGTTTATATTTTCCAAAAAAAATTCAATCTGTGAACATTTTTATACTTTAAATGAGGAAAATAAAGAAGCGTTATGGATGTGACAAAAAAAAGTCTGCGAGTTTACAGTATACAACATATTTTGTAGAAATTCTGTGAATTAAACTGCACAACCCAAAATAAATAATGCTCAACAAAAGGATAAGAGTTGGCTCTTTATAGAACAAAACTGATTGATTTTATTTTATTTTGACATTTTTGCATTTTTGAGGGAAAAGCTTTGTTATGGATGTGACACTTTTTCGTTATGGATGTGACAGATGTGAAATTGCCATTTGTTTGACTTTGGTAAATCAAATGTAATAGTTTGAAAACATTGACAGAGACATTTCGCTATTTTGGTGAAAAAAATTTTCTTTTCATGGCAAGGTTGACATTTTCATGGAATTGCTCATATATATATATATATATATATATATATATATATATATATATATATATATATATATAGAGTTGGGGTCTCAGTGAGGTTTATCGTCATCAAAGCAGAAGACCTGACTGATGGATTGCGCCTTCATTTTTCATCACTGTGCACAAGGAGGAGCATTAACTGCCTTACTCCTGACGTCATTCAAGTATAATAATATTATGTAGTGCTATAATGTGCGCATATGACGAAGCCGCTGACAATATGCAAGTTTATGAAATCACTATGAATGCATGCGTGACTGTGCACTTTTTCCGCACTTGCATTTGGATCATGTCCCGTGCGCTCTATGTACAATATAAATTAAGCCTGGAAGCAATTTTGTTATCCTCTGCAGGTCATCTGCCCTGATGTCTTTATTTACTTAGTGCTACGGCTAAGCACCTGAAATGTAATACCTGAAATTGTCATGAAATTAGTTTGATGATAATACCAATTTATAAAAAAAAATATTTTAGAATTAATTAAACCGATTTAAAAGCAATGAGTATGCTGAAGGAAAGGGAAAGGGATTAACTCTTTAGCAATGCATGATATATTTTTCAGGTTAGAGTCCTTCTTTTTGTCCTCGGCCTATCGCATGCCTGGCCACCAGGAAACTTTTTTATATCATATAATAATATTAAAAATCTTAATTATTTATGTATTCATTTGTTTGTGTTTTTTTTATTGTATATTTATTAATGAAATGTTTTTGCCATAAAAATAGCCGTTGTTGTTGAGATGGCATTAAGTAAAAATATGTAATCATTGAAGAGAGTCACCCCCCCTCCCCCCTCCCCCCCAAAAAAAGTTCAGGCTCAGTATATATATTTTTTTACTTTAACTCCTAAATATGATATGTGACCTCCATTATATAAATCACCAAGAACCACAATTTCAGGCAAAAATCTGTCATCTTTAAAAAAACACTAAACAAAAAAAGTCGCCTTGTATGGCAGAATGGAAAAAGACATTATGCATTATTTATTTATTTATTTATTTATTTTGCATATTTGGATGAAAAATAAAATGCTAAATATCTGCTGTAGTCTTCAATACACCTTTATGCACACTGATTCATGTTCTACCACAGTGAACTGAATGGGGTATATGCCGAAGCATGCTAATAGGACTTTTAATTTGCCAGTAACCTGGGTTAAGCTCTTCCGGCAAATTGAATGCCAATGCAAAATCCGGTGCGTTTAAGGTCTGTTTTCTTTAAAAATCAGCGATCTCCACTAGCTGAGTGATATCCGATTTAAAGTGGGTCTCAGATTGTACAAGAAGCACTGCATGAAATTACATTTCCCCTGCCATATCTTTATAATATGAGTATTTATTTTACCCTAGTATATTTAATAGAGCTTCTGCGTTAGCCTGCTGATTCTGACAGGCGCGTGCGAGTAAACGGCTTTTTGTCTCGTTTTACGCTTGAGCAACCAAATAAATGCTAAAGTTTATTTAACTGAATGTATTTTAATGACATTACAACATCGATGCTGTATAAGGAACCGTATAAAATGAAAAAAAGTTCACAATAACAGGTCACCGGAAGTGTATCAGCATGGGAACAGCACTAGCTCGGCATATACCCTATAGTGGAAAACTAGCCACCTCATGTTTTATTGTAAACTAACACCATTTTAAGAGCCTGTGTCCGCTTCTGTTTTATTCTAGGAAAACTGTCTCTGGAGGAGTTTATCAAAGGCGCAAAGAGTGACCCATCCATTGTTCGTCTGCTACAGTGTGATCCCAGCAGTGCAGGACAGTTCTGAGATCAGCGTCTCGTTCTTCAACCTTTTATTTATTTATTGGTTTTAATTTTGTTTTTGAGAGTCACTCCTTCTGCTTGCAGGGAAATGATGCAGGGTCCTTTTTTTTTTTTTTTTTTTTTTTTTTTTTTTCTTTCTTTTCAGAATATGGCATCTGGGTCTCATCAAACTGAGTTTGGCCAGAAATAGTAACACACATACGCACACACAGAGTTATTGGCCATGTTGTCTCAGCAGGGAGCCGTACCAGGTCTGAAAGAGGCATGTGATGGAGTGAACTAGAGCTGAAATCTGAGCTGAATTAATTTCCTGATAAGACAACAGGTTTTAGATCTTGTTAGGAATACTATCTGGGTACTAGAGCTGTGACAGTTTAAGCTTGACCAACACATGAATATAATATAAGATTGGAAATCATTCTTGAACAGTAGTGGAATCGCTTTTGTCTCTACAAACACCTCAGCATTGGTTATGTCTAAGTATTTGAGGTCGTTTTTCAATTTCAGATTGTGTATCTCAAATCAATGGTTATGCCAACGTCATAATTGGCAGATCACAGTACAGTTCTCCTAAGGGACCAATACGTCAGGCATGCAGAATTCCAGTTGTACACTGACGATTCCCCACATTGTGCTCAATCTAAAGAGCCTTGTCATTTATGCTGAAAACGAACATCAGATTTTGATTCATTCGGTTTTAGTCTACTGTTTGGAAAAACATGAACGTTTTCTAATATTTGTATTCTGGTAACGGTAAGCTTGTATATAAATCTAAAAGCATCAGACACGCATGCGAAACTCTACTCATCTTAGGATGCAGCGATTGGTTTTATTGATGTTTTGAACAAAAGCATGCGACAGCGAGTTTATCTTCATTGGTAGACAGGAGAGTATTTGTGTAATTTGTATGCATGTGTTGTGTGTGTGTGTGTGTATTCGGTTAATATCAGTTACAGCCTGGTTCGCTCACCCTGGTTCTAGATGTTGTGATGCATTGTTCGCATTTTACCGAAGGTTTGTGTTGTTGGAAAAACAACTAAAGCTTTATTGATTTAAAGGTTTCTACGATCACGTTTATCTGCTATACAGCCGGTCTTTAACTCCTGATTGTACACGTGTGCATCATCACGTTACTGAATTGCCTTATACTGTACACACTGAAGTGTTTCTGGGGATGAGTGAGATTTATATGCCTTTTTCAAATTAAGCTGAAGCTCTTCTCATTCACTCATTGGGCAGATGTCGTTTTGTCGAGAGCATCTTGCTTCTAATATTAACCTGGCATACTAAATTGTACTTTCGGTTAGGATCTCATGTCATAGAACGAGTTTTTCCACTCATGCGGTATCCATTGCACTTGCAGCATGTACTGATTAAACAACGGGTGGAGAGCATTTATTCAGAACTCCTAACAGTTCCTATAGCACCCTCTGCCCTGCTTTTAGTGATCGCGCTGAAACCACGGAAAGCCACGCTTCTGCTTCTCATGTTCTTGAATTTCCCTGTGAACGTTAAATGCCTCACCACAGTGCATTCAATTCTGCTATACTGTTAATGAACTTGTTTGAATGATTTGTTTTTGACTCATTGAACAACTGCTGTTTTTTGTAAAAAATGTCGAGTAAAAAAAAGTTAATGCAGCAGATCAAACTGCTTTGTTATTTCATGTTTTATGTGAATTTTATGTCGTTTTTCCATTTTGTTTTCCATTTTTAACATCTGACGTAACATTTCTGTATCACCGATATATCATGTGGGCAGGTGCCAAAAATATAAAAGCAGTATTGTATAAATTTATACTGTAAAAAATATTCTTTGTCAAACTACTTGTTTGTAATTGTTGCATTTTGTAGATTTTGTATGGTAATCTGTATTTTGTGACTGTAGATTTGAGACATGAAAAAATTGTTTTGGTTATAATATTGAGCAGAGATTAAATCTGGAGAGAACGGAACGTGTTTATTTGCTTTTTTTATGTGTGTCTGAAATGTAGCAATGCTTACTTTGGCCACAAGAAGTCAGCTTGATTCTTGTGAAATGCTCAAAGTCAATAGCTCTGGTGTTGTCAATTCTTCCTACCCTGTCAGATGGTCCTACCTCCCAGTTAAAAAGTAGACGGCACATTTTGATGACGCTACCCATCAGATTTTGCTACCGGTGTACATTTTAATGTGCAGTAGTGTGATATGAAGCTGTAATATCGCCCTAATCTCTAAGCCCATCCTCATTCAAATACAGTGTTGGTAGCATAAACTGTTGGGTAGGACAAAATGTCAGGGCACCCGGCTTATTTTATAAGAAAGTGTGCATGTAACCATGTATTGTAAATAGGTATTCTTTCTTATTCAGTAACTGCTCATTAATATTTATGTGCATTATTGATGTGATTATTTAAAATGTCTTCTACTTTGAAATTTGTTAATTATTTTTCAGCCTTGCATGTTGTGTTAAAGAATAGTTCATCCAAAAATTATTCTTCTATTTATTTTTATAAGCTTTTTTTGTTCCTTTAAACACTAGAGAGGTTATTTTAATTAATGAAAGCTGAAAACATGCAATCATTGACACCCATAAAAATAACCACAACACAATAGTAACAGGTAAACTTACATATGTCTGACTCTGTCTAAGACACTGGGCTGTCTCTGACTTTGCGGCGCTGTAAGATTAAATATCGCTGAAACAGATCTGAATGTGCCTTTCTTATACCACAAAATGTATCCATAAGATGTATTTGATGTAATTCCTTGTTCTCATGCTCAAACAAGAGATGACATGAGTCAGCGGGATTACTCCGACATTGTTCACTGACATTTTCCCATCAGTTCAGAATGAATAATTTGCAAACAGAAGTCTTTTGTAAGGTCATGGGAATTGTTTTGTTTATTATTATTAATAATAATTTGAATTAACAGGCACAATAAGATACAACATGTGATTTATCAGAGGTCAGCTCTGACCAGAGTTTTGAGCCTTTATTGGACTGGTTTGACTGGTTAATTTTGTCAATTCAATGTTTGTGTGATGTATAAACTACTGTCACATTTAGCTAACAATGCAAAATCGTTACCTGTCGGACGAGTAGAAGCTGAAGCCCTTCAAGTAAAAACAGGTTCTTTTTCTTTCGAGTACACACTCGGCGTGACACACCTCTTATGAAATGTCCCATGAAGTGTGATAAGGATGCAGATCAAGTACAAGTATCATATTTATGAGAGAATTAGACAGACCGTTTAAAAAAATATGAAAACAGACTAAAATCTATTTTTTTGTTTATTTTATTTAAAGTTTTTTTTTTTTTACATTTTAAAGAACAAATCCCTCCCATGCCAGCAAATAACAATAAATTATCATATGTGAAATGTAAATACATATGCACATCCACAACTGTACAGATACTTAATCATATTCCTCCATGACTAATCTATACCTGCACATATCCACAAGTCCAGTCAAATATCTGCATATATACATTACATATAGAACATAAATACATATGAGAAAGTACAAATCAATACAAATGACAAGAGAAGAGGAGAAAAAAACTGAAAATATATTAATAAAAATAGGAAAAAAGTTTTGGGATGTATATGGAGCACTACATACCTAATTATTGAAAATTTGTATTTTGTACACATTGCTATGATTTGTAAAATCTTCCACACCAGTCAGTTTTATTAGTCATTCTGTAGACATCCAAAAAAAGGCTTTCAAATTTTTTAAAATTTCTTTGGTTTACCTGCAATTTCATTTCTAATATTTTCAATGTGTAATACATTACAAAACTCTGTGAGCCATGTCTCAAATTTAGGTGTACACTCTGTTCCACATCATTCATATATATATATATATATATATATATATATATATATATATATATATATATATATATATATATATATATATATATATATATATATATATATTATTAATTTTTTTTTTTTTACTTTTTTTTTTACTTTCAAATTGAGCAAATTATGAAAGCATTTGTTCCAATTGGTGATGCTGATCATTTAGATTGTTGAAACCTGAAATCTTCATCTAGAAAGAAACCCCGATGTGTTTTAATCAATTCACTCATTCATTTATTACTTGCTGCGTATGAAAAACATGAGCTGATCCACAGATTCCTTTAATCAAAGAAGAAGAAAACAAAAACGTTTGAAGCCTTTAAAATCGTGCCACGCCTGTTAGTTTAACAGACATTTTCCATCTGTAGCCTTAACAAATAAATGGCAGTCTGCTGGTCAACAATATACGTATTTGGATAAGCTCTGACAGAAGGCTAAACGGGAAACTAGATATATTTCATTCCACCATTTTAAAATAGTGAATTGTTAATGTCAGACTAAAACAATCTGAGCTTTTCCAATCGTTTTAATCGCCTATTATATATATATATATATATATATATATATATATATATATATATATATATATATATATATATATATATATATATATATATATATATATATATTGTTAAGAAGTCTAATCACTAATTGCCGTGAAACCCATCTCATTGCGCAATCGACGAAGAAAAATCTCCCACGAACATATTTATATTCTCTGTTTAGACGCATGTTTTAACAGTGTAAGCCACGCCTTCTTACTGTTAAACTAATCCCCATCGCCGAATCAAAGTAGCTACTTCGGGATTGGCTGCTTCGTCCCCTCCTCCAGGTAACGAGAGCGCACCTTTACTTGCTTATAGTAACAGTCACCTTGAGTCCTCCCAGAATTAAAACGCTTTTCCGCTTGATCCTGAATGTTTGGCTCCTGTCCTTTGTGCGGTACAGACGGAGGATGCTGTAATGAGAGTCGGATGCGAGAAGTTGTTTGACCTGTAGTCCGAGTTTTTTTTTTTCATCCAGCCTTTCCCTGCTACTCACCTGCCGTATCTTCACCGACCTGAAAGTCCAGTTTCACTGTGGGAGCCCAGCAAACTGCACATGGCTCAGGAGGAGAAGTAAGTCCCTGATGTAAACACTAGCATAATTTACAAGAAAAGACTCAACAAACGGAGTCAAGCGCAACCAGATGTTACAATGATTTTCATGACGTGTTTTATTTACATGTGACGTAATTTTAGAAGATTGTTTTTTTTATATAATTGTTTAATTGTTTCCAGTGTACATTGCAACAACAATCAACAAGTGTGATGTTTTAATGTTTTTTCGTTAACTTTTCTCTTCTGTTATGAGTTTGTCTATTGTAGTACAGCTATAACGGTGGGCATGGCAGGTGCCTTATATTAGCTAACATCCTTGTACAACCCCGCCCATGGAACCCTTCCTCACTGTAGTATCAATATCCAGCAGGATACAGTCTATTGTCCCATGGAAAAAAAGCATTTGTGTGGAAAACGTAAAAGGATAGTGCTGGGAATTTCTATGTTCCAACCCTTTGTAAACTTTATGAACCCTTAGGTATAGAGAGGTTAGGTAGTGTTATTGCTTTTAAGCCTGCTGTCTGCAGTGTTGTTGTTTTAACTTCTTTCCTTAATCATTGTACATTAGGCTACATGTAACTTTTGTCTATATGCTTCAGATTATTTGATGTATCCTTAATATATACTGTCAAGCCTAAAATGATTCATACCCCTGGTAAATTCCCTAAAGTTTTTGTTTGAATCTAAATAAAATCTGAGAAATGTATAACTTTTGGCTGACGCCTGTGTTATTACTTTAAGTCAGAATTTGCCTGGGGTATTAATCATATTGGGCTTGACTGTACATATTGAATAATAAATGTGTACAGTTGAAGTCAGAATTTTCAGTCCCCCTGAATTTTTAGCCCCCCTGTTTATTTTTTTCACCAAATTCTGTTTAACGGAGCACAGATTTCTTCCACACATTTCTAAGCATAATAGTTTTAATAACTCATCCTTAATACCTGATTTATTTTATGTCTGCCATGATCACAGTAAATAATATTTGACTAGATATTTTTCAAGACACTTCTGTACAGCTTGAAGTGACATTTAAAGGCTTAACTAGGTTAATTAGGTTGACTAGGCAGGTTAGGGTAATTAGGCAAGTTATTGTATAACAATGTTTTTTCTGCACACTATAGAAGGAAAAAATAGCTTAAAGGGGCTAATAATTTTGCCCTTAAAATGGTTTTTAAAAAATTAAAAACTGCTTTTATTTAAGCCGAAATAAGACTTTTTCCAGAAGAAGAAGAAAATTAAATATACTGTGAAAATGTCCTTGCTTATCATTTGGGAAATATTTAAAAAAAGAAAAAAAAATATTCAAAGAGGGGCTACACTCTAAAAAAAAAAACATGGGTTATTTTTTCTTCCCAAATCTTGGGTTGAGGCATTTGGGTAATTTTTGAGGGTTATTTTCAGAGTCTTGGGTAGTTCCAACCCAGCTCTTTGGATTAAATCAACTTACAGCAGGGGCTGACTGGGATTATATACTAATTTGTTTAAATGCAATGAAAATGGTTTAACATAAACGCAGATTCCTTGCATTTACAGATGTTTAAAATGAGATTTATGCTCATAGCAGCCCTTAGTCAGACCTTTCTGAATTTTGACATTTCTTACTAGCACCTTTTGTACACCTGTAATCAAAGCTGCACATCCCCCACCGTACTTCAGTGACACCAAGTCAAAACAGCACAATTGGATTTTTTTGGATCAAATTAACCTATTATTTAAGTAAAAAAAATAACCAATTATTGGGTGGAAAAAACAACCCATATATGGGGTTAAAAATAATAACCCAATTACTTGGGTTAATCTAACCCCTGATGTGTTCTGTCCCATATTTACCCAGCAGTAAGGTTTAAAACAACCCAATTTGGGTAGTTTTTAACCCTGTGTTTTTAGAGTGTCATAATTCTTCAACTGTATATGCAATTATTATTTATTTCTAATAGATAAATAAATGCATACCTTTGTCCATTTATATCAGCATGTCTGTTTGTTATAGTAAGCGTCTGGTGGTGGTGGTCCCTAATGAAATGACCGTTCCATCACGCCGTGCCTTCACAAGTGAAGACGAGGCATGGAAGTCTTACTTGGAGAATCCACTGACTGCTGCCACCAAGGCCATGATGAGCATTAATGGAGATGAGGACAGTGTGGCTGCCCTGGGAATCCTTTATGATTACTATAAGGTGAGAGCAGATAAAGAAATGTGGCTGCTCAGGGCATGTGTATTTGAAGATTTAATGTCGGAAAGTATCTCTTTTCCATTAGGTTCCTAAAGAGAAGAGGCTCCTGCCAGTGCACAAACTTCCAGAAGATCATGAAAAAAGGTTGGTTATTCTTTTGCAAGCAAGTCAAAGGTTCAACTGCAAACTTCGGAGCATCTTTTTGATACATGTTACACCTCAAATATTTAAGAATGATGCGAAAAGAAATCTTGCACTTAAAAGAACCAAGAAAACTTTATAAATCACCTCAAAAAAAATCAAAATTCTGTTATTTGTCCACCCTGTTAATCCAAACCCATAAGAGATAATGTATCAGATTTAAAGCTGTTGCGGGAAAAAAATCATATGGAAATTTGAGATTTTCAAAATGCATTGCTATTCTCTTTCAAATGAATTCTGAGCTAATATTTAAGATCAGATGGTGCTATAGGCTTTTAAAAATTACTGTGTTCTCCTTTCATCCATTTTTTTTTACAAATACAGCTTGTGACTTAAAAACTGACTTGCATGACCGAATGCACAAGTGCTCATCCTCTTGAGCAATGAATGTACAGTGAAAACCTTGCATAGAGCTCCTCCTGCCATTACAACGAAGCTTAGAATTGATTTAAGAGAGAATAGTTTTAAGAATGTGCCACCCCCCAGCCTACTTCATTTAATACATTTTCCCTTTTCTCTCACTTTTTTTAAAAATTTCTTTTTTATTTTTTTCTATTTGTTTATTTTATTTTATTTTATTTTATTATTACTGTTTATTTTACTTAATACACCATGCTGTCAACCTCAACGTCTGGTACAGACCTGTTTATATGCTCAATTTGAAAATTGATTTATGCACATCATATAGTGTTTATGCATGTCATATACTGTGTGTCGTACAGTATGAGGGTTATAGTGTGGTTTATTTATTTATTTTTTAATCAATGCTGTACTGTTATATATATATATATTTTTCTGTTTGTACTGTTATTGTCTCTTTTTACTTTGTTTGTTAACTGTCAAAAAAATCTAATAAATAAATCTTTAAAAGAAAGAGAGAATAGTGATGCATTTGAAAATCTTTGAATCTATTTCATTATAGATTTTTTGCAACAGCTCTAATAACATGATTGCTTTATTTTGTAAACAAATGTTTTTCACATGCTAGAACAAAACTAGCTGGTTTCTTAAACATGATTAATGTCCTTAATTAGCAAGTATACAGTATGATGTGCACGGTGTATGTGTGTTGATCATTGTGTAGATGTAAATGAAATCTTTTGATCAAATAAAACACTAGAGTCCCTCTTGAGGGATTTGGATCAAACCACTTGACTCCTATGGTTAAGATTATGTTTCCTTCATGACCATACTTTGATCATTTGTGAGAGAAATCTCTCTGGTTTCATTATAAATATCTACATTGAGTTAAAGGGATTGTTCACCCCATAAATTATCCTGAAAACCTGTAGCCATTGACCTCTATAATGTCTGTTTTTCATATCATGAAAGTCAATGGCTACAGGTTTTTAAATCATTTTTGGGTAAACCAATGCAGATATTTATAATGAAACTCGGAAAGAACTCTCTATATAGTATAGTATCTTTAGTTTCTACACTACATAGTGTCAATAGTAGTAATATAGCATCTTTAGCATAGGTCTCAAACTCAATTCCTGGAGGGCCACAGCTCAGCACAGTTTTGCTCCAACCCTATTCAAACACAGCTAATCCAAATAATAGTCTTCAAAAGAGTCTTGAACTCCTTGATTAGTTGCATCAGCTGTGTTTGATTGGGGTTGGAGTAAAATGTGCAGAGCTGTGGCCCTCCAGGAATCGAGTTTGAGACCTGTGTTCTAAAGTATCTGTTTTTATACCATGAGATGGTATGTCAATGGTTACAGGTTTTCAGATTTCTTCAACACAGTATATCTTCTTTTGTGTTCAACAGAAGAAAGAAACTAAATGTTTGTAAGCACTTGAGAGTGAGAAAATATTCGGGTGAACTGTTTCCTAAACAATAACCGAATGTTTATTTTTGGGTGAACTGTCCCTGTAAATATTTCTTTAATTTATAACATTTACTAGAAGACGATAAAGAAATTTAATTTTGTTTGCTGACTCTTTCTTTTAGTCGGATCAGTCAAGATGGCGTCGAGTCCGCGGAAAATCGTATTCATGTCCTGAAGTCACTTCCGGTCAACCTGTCACTGAATCCTGATTCAGAAAACAAGCAAGACCTGTTCGGCACAGTGCCTGCCGAGGACGGTGTAGTGGCCACTGTAAAGCCAGAGGTTTATGCTCAGTCATTCTCCAGCCATCACCAGCAGCTTCATTATCACCGTACGCCCTACCATCCGCATTTACAGGATTCAGTGAGCGTCAGCCATGATAGATACATGAAGGACGATCAGTGCAGCACACCAGACAGCACCTTTGAGGACTCCTATCCTGAGGACCCTATGGTAAGCTTTATGACATAACATTTAGATAATGACTTTTTTTTTTTTTTGCAGTAGATTAACTTTTGTGTCATGTTTACTGTTTTTAGAGGTACAGGGTGCCTACTACGCCTGCGGCTGAAGATTTCACACATGAGCAAGCAGGGTTGTAAGTATTGTTATTATAATTATGTTTTTAAACTTGCTGACCACATACTTCTGATCAGTATATTGCATTTTTTAAATACAGTCAAAGTCAGAATTGTTAGATACCCTATTTAATACCCAGTCTAATTATTAGACTGCTTGTTTATTTCTTCCCCAATTTCTGTTTAACAGAGAGAAGATTTTTTAACACATTTCTAAACATAATAGTTTTGATTAATTCATTTCTTATAATGGGTTTATTTTATCTTTGCCATGATGACAGTCAATAGAATTTTACTAGATATTTTTCAAGACATTTCTATACAGCTTAAAGTGACATTTAAAAGCTTAACTAGGTTAATTAGGTTTACTAGGCAGGTTAGGGTAGTTAGGCAGGTTATTGTATAATGATGGTTTGTTCTGTAGACTATTAAAAAATATAGAGCTTAAAGAGGCTTATAATTTTGTCCCTAAAATGGTGTTTAAAAAAAATTAATACTGCTTTTATTCTTGCTGAAATAAAACAAATAAGACTTTTTCCAGAAGAACAAATATTATCAGACATACTGTGAAAATTTTCTCGTTCTGTTAAACATCATTTGGAAAATATTAAAAAAGAAGAAAAAAAATTTGAAGGGGGCTAATAATTCTGACTTCAACTGTATATTCTAGACTCAAAGTACCTGCAGGATTTCATTTAAATAACATTGTTTTTGAAAGTTTTGATGGTATTAAAAACATCCAGATTTGACCATTTCTTTATAATTTAGGACTGCGCTCCTTAACTGATCTCAGTAGTTCAAAACTAAACCTCTGATTAGTGTTTCTTCAAAATAGAGATGCAACATTTAGCCAACACAGATTATTATTATAAGCAATGCATTATTTTGAATTGTAATTTTAATTGTGTATACATTAAAACTATTTAATGGATTATCTGATATTGTACAATATTTTTATTCTATTTCAATATTCTAAGTAAAGGTAACCACTGGAAATATAGAAATGACATAAATATGGAGTAGATTTAGAGAAAAATACAGGGTCTTGCAAAATTCCAATTAGACCTTATACCATGGGTGCCCAAACGTTTGGTATGATCAGCCAAAAAACAAATATCATTGAGAGCTGTGGGCCAAACATAAATATGCCAAGCTATTTTGCATTAAAGTTGCAATGGGCAATTTCCTAATATTTAAAAATAAATGGAAAACATGACTTTGAATTGTATTAACTAATGCAGTATAACCTTTTAATGATAACTCATGACAATAAAGCAAAAACAATCACATGTATAACACAGTGCAGTTCAATGCTGAATACACCTGTCGAGCAGAATCTTCCTTTGCCTTGATTTGCTCAGCAAAGTCTCTGCATTGTCCTCTATTGGTCTGGTGACAGTACATACATATTGAACTAAATTACAGCATTTAAATTAAACTTTTTTTGTAGCTTAACAAAAAACAAACAAATAAACAAATATATTTGAAATGACAATCTCTAAACCATCCCCATCATTCTCCCTCTCTTCTCAGATGGGATGGTGGCCCAAATCATAAGTTACCATGGGCCAACTTTGGCCCTCAGGCTTTTTTTCTATAATATTCCATATTCCTGATGAAGAATGTGAAGCATAAAGATTTTTCAGTCATTAGCCATTCGGCCATGTTTTCTTCTCTTTTTTTACCATTATGGTTTGAGAAATTTTTATTTATTGTGATTTTTTTATTCTCACTTTTTTCTCATCCTCCCCTAGAAACATGTTCCAGTATAATATTGAAGCAAGCCGTTCTGTCCGTGAGAAGGCTGCCGATGGGCCGATGGTGTATCTGAACAAGGGCCAGTTCTATGGCATCACACTCAGTGAGACCGGGGCCAACAAGGGCCTTCGTCATCCCATCAGTAAAGTGCGGGTGAGTTCTGCTTGCCATGAAAACCACTATCAACTTCACATTAGAGACCAATAATTGTTATTCCGCAAATCTTTCCCTCAAGACTGTAGTGATGGTGGTGTTCGGACAGGAGAAGTGTCGGGATGAGCAGTTGAAACATTGGAACTACTGGCACACCCGTCAACACACTGCCAAACAGAGAGTCCTTGACATAGGTGGGATTTTCTTTTTAAATGCATTTTTTATATATGTAGCTTCGGGGTTATTAACCAACTTTGTGGTTAAATGAGAGATATTTGGTGGTGGTTTGAAAAAAAAAAAGAAAGAAAGATTTGGAGACCATTAATCCATTTATTCATTTTATTTTCGGCTTAGTCCCTTTATTAATCTGAGGTCGCCATAGCGGAATTAACCGCCAATTTATTCAGCATATTTTTACGCAGCGGATGCCCTTCCAGCCACAACCCAGTACTGGGAAACACCCATACACTTCTGCATTCACACACATACACTACTGTCAATTTATTTTATTTAATTCACCTATAGTGCATGTCTTTGGGGGAAACCAGAGCACCCAAAGGAAACCCACCAGTACAAAGGGAGAACATGCAAACTCCACACAGAAATGCCAACTGAACCAGCCAGGGCTCGAACCAGTGACCTTCTTACTGTGAGGCGATCACACTACACACTACACCACTGTGATGCCAGATTTGGAAATATTAGACCAAAAATATTATTTTAGAGCATTGAGGTTTTACAGTGGCTGTGTTATACACAAGATGATGCAAATTTCTAGTGCCAAGTTTAAAACTTTTTCCATTCTGTCATCATTTACTCATCCTTTACTTGCTTCAAACCTATTTGACTTTCTTTCTTCTGTTAAACACAAAGGAAATTTTTCTGAAGAATGTTGGAAATGGGTAACCGTTGACTTCAATAGCATTTGTTTTCCAACAATGAAAGTCAAGGGTTACAGGTTTTTAGCTTCCTTCAAAATATCTTATTTTGTGTTCAGCATTCAGTTCAAATCATCTTTATTTCTATAGCCCTTTTACATTGTAGATTGTGTAAAAACAGCTTCACGTAGAAGATTATCGTGACTTGAAACTGTGTCTGTTCAGTTTTCAGAGTTTAATTTCAGTTCAGTTTAGTCTGGTTTAATATTCACTGCTGAGAGTCCAAACATTGAAGTGCAAACCCATCAATGCAAAACATAAAAAAGAATCTCATAAATGTTTGGAATCACTTAAGTCTGAGGAAATAGTGAAAAAGTTTACATTTTTGGGTGAACAATCCCTTTTAATACTTTAAAAATAGCCTTCTCTTCCTCCCCAATTTAGCTTTTAACTTTAATTATATACATTAACCAACATGAGTTAACAATATAATATAATTTTAAAGCATGTATTTATCTTAGTTTATGATGATTTCTAATTTTACTGATTCTATAATCAAAAGGAAATATTATTTAGGGGTCCCAAAGCAATAAAACTGAAGACATTTTAGGTTGCATTTCATTAATATTACTCAAACATTGATATATTCTGTAAGAAATTTCTTGCTCATTGCTGCTTAATGTTAGTTATGTTAGTTGCATTAACTTATTGTTCTAATGGGATAACTAACCATACTAGATATAAAGTCAAATTACAGTAAAAAAAAAAAAAAAGAAAAAAAGACAAATTGTCAACAGCCGTAAGACAAATACATTTGTTTTCTCTTTAGATGAAGTATATTTATTCAATCTCATTAGATGATATTGGAAGTCACTTCAGTTTGATACAAATATTATTTGTGTTTCTTTATAACAAATATGCAATTTTGCTTAATATATAAATAAATATAAAAAAAAAAAAAAAAATATATATATATATATATATATATATATATATATATATATATATATATATATATATATATATATATATATTATTCAACTATTAAGCTAGATATAAATCTCAATTTCCGAAAATTCACACTTTTGACTGGGTTAGTGATCCAGGGTCTTATATTATTTCAATTATTCAAAATTATCAGTAAAAATTCCTGTTCTATTTGAAATGACTGAAATGATGTATATAACTATATACTTTATGAATAATACTGATCCTTTTTTGGGTGGTGTGTCTTTGTTTTGTTCTTCTTTCAATTTACGCGTCTGTATTCCTAGGATAATAGATAATGGCAGTCTCTTCTTTTGTTCGTCATTCATCTTGCCATTTCCTTATTCACTTTTTTGAGGTGTATCCAAAAAAAAAGGGGTCTGCAACTTTAGTACAATGCTTTGGGCAAAGTCTTCCATCATAACTCCCAGCTGGGAAACGTAAGGACAATGGGAGGGTCAAGTTAAAAGAGGCGGGGTGGGGGGGTTGACACCTGGGGGGCACCGTGATGGTCTTCTCAGTGGCATCTGGCAGACTGACATGGTTTGGGCATGATTCTGGAAGATGGAAACCCGATCTGCTGATGCTGATGTTGTCCTGATTTGAATAACAGTATCCAGGGATTTTTCATAGTGCCTGAGGCTGAAGATCAGGATTTGAATAGGAGCGTTAACCGTTGGGAGGGAGACTGAATCCTCAGACAAACGGGGGCTTGGGGAAGGGTCCTGCTCTTTTGTAAACGGAAGGCTTGAGTAACATCTGCCATACATTTAAACAGTGTTGTATTTACACAGCAGGCAGGTACCATGTCATAGACGTGAAGCGTGTAATAGAATGCCTGCCATTAAGGTCATAGTGTGTGTGTGTGTGTGTGTGTGTGTGTGTGTGTGTGTGTGTGTGTGTGTGTGTGTGTGTGTGTGTGTGTGTGTGTGTGTGTGTTAGTTAAATGATTGAATATATCCTGAAGTGCTCAAATTTGTTTGCAGCTTTGCATATTAAATGCACATTTGCACATTTCTGGTGGCGTTTAAATGTACAATGAACGATCGATTTCACTAATAATATTATCTGCGCGATCATTTCAAAAGGCCTTAGTCTTAAAATAACACTCAAGTGGGCTAATCCTGAGGGTCGTGTTTTTAGCATCATTTGTAAAATCTTTCAAAGAGCATCTACTTTTAACGGAAATTCGTACTTTTGGGTAAAAAAAAGTTTAAATGGTCTCAATCTTGCTTAGTAAGTCAAACATAATGGGCCCTATCATACACCCATCGCAATGTGGCGCAAGGTGCGGCGCGATAGTCTTTTGCTACTTTAAGCTTGGCGCAATGGTCATTTTGAGGTGTTGCGCCACACTGTTCAAATAGCAAATGCATTTGCGCTCAAATGTGCGCCCATAGGCGTTCTGGTCTAAAAAAGCAGGCGTGTTTTTGTGCATTGCTATTTTGAGAAACTGTAAATAGTCTGTTCTTTAGACCAGAACAAAGTCGGTCTATTGTCTGGCGCAAAGTGCGCCTGGCTTACACAGTACACACAAGATGTAGAGCAATACGCAAATATCTTTACATATGAAAAAGATATAATATATTAAGGATATATGTAATAAGGATAAATATAGGATATAAATATAAATGATTAAAATATTACAAAACATATTCATTTCTAGCCTACATGAATTTAAAAACCACTGCCTTCATACTTTCTTCATCTCGGGAGGCTTTTTCAGTTCATTCAATTTGCTTTTGTATAATGTTATTATTATTAGCAGTATTATTTATTATATCCATATTTATATTTGTTTTATTAAAAACAAGCTTAGATTTGTCCACCTGTCAGGTTTTAGACCATATGGGGCACAGCAGGTATATTTGAAAATAACTCAGTATTTTTACCACACTTTGTTATTATTAATCATTTATTCGTGGGCTGGAAATTAGAACTGAATTTAGAAATAGATTTGAAACAAATCTTTGCGCTTAACAAACTAAATTAATTATTTATAGGCTAATTGATGTCTGTGCGGTAAGGTTTCCCTATCCACGAGAGCAAAAGTGAATGTGAACTTACTTTACGTCTTGTTAATAGCAATGTGCTTATGGCACGACGCAGCTGGCTCTTAAAGGGAATGGGAGATGAGACTCTGATTGGTTTGTTCTCAAAACACAACTATAACTCAGTAAGAAAATAAACTCAACACTTTTAGACCATGCGCCATGGCGCAAAGCGGATTTTCCCATCCTTAAGTTAGCAAAAATGCGTTCTGACACGCCCTGAAAGTGTTTGCGCCCTGCGTTTTGCGCTCTGCGCATGGACCGTCAAAATAGAGCCCAAAAAGATTGTTCACTCAAAAATGATTATTTATCCTCTATTTACTTTCCCTCAAGTGGTTCCAAACCGTTTATAATGTTTCTTTCTTCTGTTGGACACAAAAGAAGATCTTTTAAAGAAAGCTGGAAACCTGTAATTGATTTTAATAGTAAGAAATACAAATGTAATAGAAGTCAATTACAGGTTTCTTGCTTTTTTGCAAAATATCATCTTGTGTGTTCGACAGAAGAAAGAAACTCAAAGACAAGTAAAGTAAATATGGCAGAATTTGACATTTTGGGTGAACTGTGTGTCTTTATGAATAGCATCATTTCATTCGGTATTTTTAACATTTAAAAATGGTGTTTCCCAGAGATGGGTTGCAGCTGGAAGGGCTTCCGCCTTGTAAAACATATGCTGGATAAGTTGGCGGTTCATTCCAATGTGGTGACCTTAGATTAATAAAGGGACTAAGCTGAAAATAAAATGAATGAATGAACATTTCGAAATAAATACAGAAAATCTCAGACATCAGATTTATGCCTTAATTATTTTTTTAATAGACAGTAACTAATATCATGTTCCCCCCTTTTCCCCCTCAGCTGACTATAAAGAGAGTTTCAACACCATTGGCAACATCGAGGAAATCGCTTATAATGCAGTGTCATTCACTTGGGATGTCAATGAGGAGGCTAAGGTGAGACTTTCAAGCTTTTTCAGAGTTTCACTTGAATGTCCAGTTTGTCGCAGGACTACCTGAAGTTTGATAAAAGCCTGGAAAGGACTTCCATCTCCTTCTCTTCCAGCATCCTTTTCACAGTCAGAAGCTTTTTACTTCTTAGTTTCAGTACTTAACAAGCTTACTTTAAGTGCACACTTAAGGGTGGAGGTCCACCCAGCCTCACGGTCAATATTTGTCTTTTAAAATGGGCTTTTGAAGTAGCCTGATGTGTCATCGTTACATCTAGTGGAATACCCAATAGAAAGAAGTCTGGATCTCTGAATGTGTGTGTGCTTGCGTGCATGTGTTAAAGATGTTTCTAAAAATGGGGTGCACGCATTTACATGCCTTTTATATCAGAAAAGTGTGATCTGTGATTGGAGTAGAGCTGGAGTCTCTGGTCGAGGTGTCTGAGGAAAAAAAAACTTCTCAGTATGCTTAGAAATAAATCACACCCCTGCATGTGACATTGATGTCATATAGAAACACATTCAGTCACAGACTAAAACTACCAAAATCCACTACGGAGCCCCACATGAAATCATTCATACCTGTGGCTATTCAAATTCTATAGGCCCTATCATACACCTGGCGTAATAAGGCGCAAGATGCTTTTGCCGCAACGTGTTGCTATTTTCAGACCAGCGCAACAGAAATTTTCTCATTTTGCACCATGTTGTTTAAATAGCAAATCCATTTTTGCCCCTTTATGCGCTTATGGGTGTTCCAGTCTAGAAAAGAGGTGTGTTAAGGCGCATTGTTGGCGCGTTAAGGAATTAAAATAGACTGCACGATAGACCAGCTGATAGCAGGTCTAAAGTCAATCGCAGAGTGTGTCAGTTGTGCGCCTCGCTTACAAATTGCTTAATACACATAGGATGTACAGCAATACAGAAATATCTTTACATATAAAAAAGAATTAAAGGATTAAAATATTACAAAGGTTATTATTTTCGACATAAATATTAAAACCCCTACATCCATGCCACCTTCATCTCGAGGGGCTTTTTTTAGTTTAGTATATTTAGATTAGTTTTATTAAAAACAAGCTTAGATTTGTCCACCTGTCAGGTTTTGGACCATACATGGCATAGGACGTGTGTTTGGATATAACTTTTTTGAGCACACTTCGTTATTATTGTTCATTTATTCATTTGCTGGAAATTAAAACTGAATTTAGAAATAGTTTTAAAACAAATATTTGCGCTCAACAGACAACATTATGTAGGCTACTGTGTGTCTGTGCATACAACAGAGTTTCCTTATCCACTAAAGAAAGAAGGAGAAAGTAAAGAGGCTGAATGGAGGAGACTAATTCTTTATCCTCGCGCTGCAGATGCTCTGTTTAACTGTTTTCTCGGTAATGAAGAGTTCAGTTTTTCCATTTAGTTTCTCCACTTACAAAGTCCGCCATGTAAATAGCAAATCCGCCATGGTGCGACACAACTGGGAAAAGCAAACATTAAAGGGAATGGGATATGAGACTCTGATTGTTATTTTTTTTATCCTTAAAATAACAAAAGTGGATTCGGACATGCCCTTAATGCTTTAGCGCCATGTGTTTTAGACTTTGCACCTAGATCCTTAAAATAGAGCCCTATAACTTAACCCCCTAAATAATTTAGTTATAATTATGATGATTATTATTATTTATTCTTACTCAAAGGAGACCTATTATGCAAAAATCTCTTTTGTAAGTGGTTTAAACAACATTGTCTGCCAACAGTGTGTGAATATATCCACCCTCCAATGATCATTTGTTTTTTTATAATCACGATTTGTTTAATAAATCAGTCTGCAGAAACACGTTGATGACCTATAGAAAGAAAGAATGAGAGGATAGCCCCGCCCATCAGTGATGATCCCTCCTCATTACCATAAACAGCCCTTAATGAGAAGCTGCCATCCGCCATATGAGTTTTAAATCTGGCACTATGCTGACTCATAGGTGTTTGAAATGAGTGTGTGTGGAGTACAATCTAATTTGAATTTAAAGAGACAGTCACTAAAATGGCACAATTTGAATCAAAGTCTAAAAGGTGCTGTTTCAAAAAGTTATTAGTTTTTTGGGTGGTATTTTTTTTTAGCTAAAACTTCACATACACACACTGGGGACATCAAAGATTTATTTTATATCTTGTTAAAAGGGGTATAATTCATCCCTTTTAATGTGTAATTTTATTATTATTATAATTCCACTACTGGTCAAAAGTTTGGGGTCAGTTTTATTTATTTTTTTAAAGAAAACTATTCTGTTCAAGGCAGCATTTATTAAATGTAAAAAACAATGTTAAATATTTATTAGAATTTTAAATAACTGCTTTCTTATTTTATGTAGGTTCAAATAGAATTTTTACTCCAATCCTCATTGCTTTTATTACTATTACCATTACTAATAATAATCTTAATTAATATTAGAGTGATTTCTGAAGAACCATGTAACTCTGAAGACTGGAAGCTGAATATTCCTTATTAAAAGCACTGGAATAAATGATTACATTAAATGATAAACTACTTTTGACCATTTATTGTGCAATAACACTTCATAATTTTCAAAATTTGTACTGTATATTTGATGGAAAAAAATGCAGCCTTTGTAAGCAGGAGAAGCTTATTTAAAAATATAAAAAAATCCGACTGACCCCAAACTTTTACAAACCGGTAGTGTAAATTATTATTGTTATCAGTGTTAGTGTAATACTGTATTTCAACAAGCAGTCTCTGGAAAAAGAACCTAATCTTAATCTTGTGAAGATACAACTGATGTTGTAAGGTTTCAGTGATACTTTGTATTTATTCAACCATCATTTTCCCACATGCACCTACACGCACACTCCTACTGAAAGACTAGGAAGATCTGTTGTGAAAGATTTGTCTGCATATGTGGTCGCTAACTGATTCCTGTCAGAATTGGTCACGTGGCCCTGAGAAAGCAAGTGGTTCTCATAACGCAGAACAACAGGCTCCTCTATGAAACAACAGCTACAGGCACAGACATGAAAGGACGGGAGACCGTCAGTGGGAAACTATTTTCACCTCAGGCCGAAAGATTCGCTAGCTTTCATCTATCAACAGACGTTTTTCCAGTGTCTCTTGATGTATTGGCATTCGACAGGTTACAGTTGGGAATATTTCGAATCAAATTTTGTTTTGCTTACTATTTGAATAAACTGCAGAAAGGTGCACAGTTAAAGAGTGCTTAAGTGGTTTTTGTCTGGAGCATTGGCACTTAAATTTTTTCCTATGAAGGGCAAAAAAACAAACTTGATTGAGGCTTGTGGGCCGAAGGAAAATATAGTTTCCATGGCTAATTTCCTTATTTATTTGATAATGTTTAAAAATGGCTGGAAAACATTGCTTTATATTTACTAATACAGTTTTTTCTTTACATTTTATAATAAACTTATTATAGTAAAAACAAAAAACTGTCTAATTTATAAGAGAATTACACTAGTTGTTGTCTTGATTTGCTCACTGATGTCTTCTGCATATTCATAAATACTGTCTCTCGGCGGATTATTTATAACTGCATTTATATTGATTATTTAATTTACAACATTTAATTGAAACATTTAATTTCAGGGTTTTTTGTAGCTCAGCAATAAAACACAAAGAAGTTTACGTCTAATTAGAAATGATGATCTCTGCGTTAAAGGCATTTTACCCAACCCTCTCCATTTTTTGTATATATTTTTTTAACTTTATTTATCAAGATCCCCATTAGCCACTACCAAGCTCAATTCTGGACTAACTGTAATCTAAGCCTTTACTTGATGCACTCGACCATACCACTGGACCATAATCTAGATAAGAACAATTGCCTGAATATTTTGAGAGATATAGGACTGTGGTAAAAGTTTTACACATCTCTTAATAATTGATAAACCGCTTCCCATAACTATTACCATTTTATCAATCTGTTTTGACCACTTTAACCTACTATCACGAAGAACTTCAAGAAGCCTAATTTCCTCTACCCGTTCAATAGGCACACCCAATACAGACTAATTTAACAGTGGTTTACATTTAAATTGAAAGTGTGAACCAAACACGATACTTTTGATTTTTATCAAATTTAAAACCATTGTATTATTCTGTACACACTTTACCACTAATTGTAATTCCTCATCTAAATCAGCAGATAATTTTTCAATTGATGCCGCTGGTAGATATAATGTTGTATCATCTGCAAACATAACTGCCCTTGCATGCGTAACCAAAGAAAGATCATTGGTAATAATAGAAAATATCAATGGTCCTAAACAACTTCCTTGAGGTACACCACATTACAACTCTTTCACTTTTGAATAACTTGTATTATTAAATACACATTGCCTCCTACTAGTCAGATAACTATATAGACTTTTAAACCAGTGCACAGTTTGAGAAGAAAATTTATATAATTTAAATTTTCAAGCAATAATTTATGATCCAGTACATCAAAAGCAGAGCTAAAATCCAACAATACTGCTCCTACTAAATTACTATCATCAATCTGTACTAAACAATCATTAATTATTTCTGTTAATGCTGTTCCTGTTGAGTGTCCTACTCGATGTGCATGCTGAAAGTCAAAGAATAAATTGATTTCTTTAAAAAAATAATAGAATTTGTTCACACACTATCGTTTCAAACCCTTTACTAAGAACTTATTGGTCGACTTTTAGCCCCACTAAACCTCAGCGCTGCATTTTTCTGTAAAGGGAAAACCTTTGCTTCTTTCCAAGCTAAAGGGAAAATCCCTCCTTTAGTACTCAGTTTCACTCTCCTCTCAGATGGTATAGTGGGCCAAATCAAAGGTTACAATGGGCCAACTTTGGCCTGTGGGCCTTATTTTGGGCATCTCTGGTGTAGAGTCACTGTTTGGAGATTTTACTTCATAAGGTTAACACATTGAACAGAAAATGCAATTTAACAAAACAGATATTTTTAGGTTTTAAGAGATGCTTCCTCCAAAAAGTGGTTCCATAGCTTTAAAAGTTTTCGTTTCTCTTTCGATGTGTTCGTGTAATTTCACTACCACCTATAACACTACTAGCATCACCAAACGGAATGATTTTTATGTTTACTGAACTTGTCCTGTCTGTCATTGGACAAACATATTGCCTAGCTTTTAAAGTTTCACAATTAAGCCACCAGTTTATATTACACCAATCTAAAACCAAATCTGCATGTGTGTTTTCTGTCTAGGTTTTCATTACTGTGAACTGTCTGAGCACCGATTTCTCCTCTCAGAAGGGAGTTAAAGGTCTTCCACTTATGATCCAGATTGACACATACAGTTACAATAACAGGAGCAACAGACCCATCCATAGAGCCTACGCTCAGATCAAGGTCTTCTGTGACAAGGTTTGTTCAATGTCAGTGCGGTTGTTTTACATCACATGGTTTTAAAATAAGTGTTAAGCATTTGCATTGGAAATATCCTATGTTTGCCATTTGTTGTTTTCAGTACTGGCTATATTTGTGACATTAGTAGTCTAATTCTATTTGTGTTCAAGTTGTCTTTTGAATTCCTCTGCCATTTAAGGGATAATTTACCCCAAAATTAACATCTAGTCAGTATTTACTTAAATAAATAGTTCACCCAAAAATAAAAATGCTGTCATGCTTAACCTTTACTAGTGCCGTACCTGTTTGTCTCGTTTTCTTTTTCTTTTTTTGAACTCAAGATATTTTGAAGCAAGCCTGTGAAAACGTACTTCCCTAACATTGTTTTTCCAATTATGAATGTCAATGGTTACAGGATTTCAGGTTTCTCCAATATGCATTTAAAGTCAGAATTATTAGCCCCCCTTTGATTTTTTTTTTTTTTTTTTCTTTTTTAAATATTTCCCAAATGATGTTTAACTGAGCAATGGAATTTTCACAGTATGTCTGATAATATTTTTTCTTCTGGAGAAAGTCTTATTTGTTGCATTTCGGCTAGAATAAAAGCAGTTCTTAATTTTTTAAAGAACATTTTAAGCTCAATATTATTAACCTCTTTAAGCTATATATTTTTCGATCGTCTACAGAACAAACCATCGTTATACAATAACTTGCCTAATTACCCTAACCTGCCTAGTTAACCTAATTAACCTAGTTAAGCCTTTAATTGTCACTTTAAGCTGTATAGAAGTGTCTTGAAACATATCTAGTCAAATATTATTTACTGTCATCATGGCAAAAATAAAATAAAACAGTTATTAGAAATGAGTTGATAAAAATTATTTTTAGAAATGTCTTTAAAACAAAATCTGCTCTCCGTTAAACATTAAATGGGGGGCTAATAATTCAGGGCGGCTAATAATTCTGTTCATCAAATGTAACTTAAAAATGTTTGGAACCATATGAGGTTGGGTAAATAGTATTTTGTGGCAAACTGTTCATTTTAACCTCAAGTTGTTCCAAGCCTTTATGAGTTTTCTTTTCTGTTGAACACGAAAGTAGGTGATATTGTGAAAAATGTTATGACCGTTGATTTCCATAGTACAATTACGAAGGAGTTCAATGATTACAGGTTTTCAACATTGTTCAAAATAACTTCATTTGTCTTCAACAGAAAAAAGAGAGTCAAACAGGTTTATGACAAATGAAGGTTGAGCAAATGATGACACAATTTACATTTTTGGGTGAACTGTCCCTTCAAGATCACACAAACCTCTCTTCTGTACAGGGAGCCGAGCGAAAAATACGTGATGAGGAGAAAAAGCAACTTCGGAAGAAGGTTAAAGGTCAGACTGTTGGCGGGCACGGTCAGGATGGTAAGAGTTTTGTCAGTTATACTTTCATTTACACAGAATGTTCTTATATTAGTTGGCGATGAATCAGAATATGGGAGTATATGCATTTCTCTACATCGGCTTTCTGATTGTGATGTTTTTTCATATTTTAGGTAAGAGAGGAAATTTGGCCAGTTTACCTCCAAAGAGGCCAGACATTACGCTTTTCAAAGCTATGACAGACTTGGAGTCCCAGCCTGTGCTCTTCATCCCCGATGTCCATTTGAACAATCTCCAGAGAGCCGGCCAGGTGAGGAAGAGAATGAGCACAGTTCATGAAGTCATACTGAAATTGTCTAATGATCCGTTCTTATTACTGGGGTGTAGTCTCTTAGTAATCATTAGACGTAATTAAAGGATATTATGGCTGCGTTATTTTGTAGCGTCCTGTATGTGTAGTCTTTATAATGTTTTGTGATCTCTTTGTGTACAGGTGTTCAGTTTTGGTGTTGAAGAAATGGAGAATGACGGGTCAGTTAAATTACTGTGAATATTCTTCTACAGGGATGTAGTATAGCTTTTACCACACCAAAATTGTTAGTGGAAAGTGTGTTTTATGGTGCATGTTTATTTTTCCTATTTTATGTTTAACTTTGTCATGCTTCAGCTCTGTAAAAAAAATCATAAACCACTTTAAGGTTATTATTGCCTGCAATAATACCTATTTTTTGTGTGATTTATTTATAAACTGCAAAATTTTAGAGAACTGATAATAAGTGTGGTCTAATTATTTCCCAGAACAGTATACAAGCTAAACAGCTTGATGTATAAACCTTATTTTCAACAACCAAAAAATACAAATAAAATTAGTTTGTGTTTATAATTTTATTACATTAAAAAAAACAATTCTCAATAAAATCATTCTAAAATCTTCAATAATTTAATAACACTGTTGATAGTCTTTAACAAAGTCTTTTTTGTTTGTTTTTGTTATCAGCTATCTATTCATCTTTGAGCATAGCACATAATAATTTTCTACTACTCTGATTTGTGAGCTGGTTTTTCTCTATAAAATAATAGCATTTCTTTTATATCAAGTCTTTTAAAGTCTTGGCAAGCCAGTGTTTCAGTCTGTTATGATTTATTTCTTACAGAGTAAATGTAGCCTTGAAAAGCACTACTGTAATTTCTAAATGAGTTTATCTGTTTGGCATCCAGGGTGGCCGTGAAGAGACCGTTCGGGACATCAGAGGCTGATTCTCCACCTACCAAATACAGCAGAGAGGAGAGGAAAGGTATGAATTAATGCACAAGTGTCAAATTTAAACTACCAACAAACCTTGTACATTAATAAATATAAATATACAGTGCTTAGCGTATATAAGTACACCCTTCACAAGTTATCTTTTAAATTTATATTTTTAATAGGAAGCTATGCAGTATTGTGTTTGTGCATATACATCAGATAAGTCAGTACTGAAGCCAAATCTGGAACATATCTAACAAAATAACTTACGATAATGGTCCAAACACTACTGTATGTTATAGAAAAGTATTAAATACAAATATTAAAAAGGAAAACTCTAGAGAAGCAAAAAAATATTGTTGTTCAATATTTTGCTGATGTTCTTGTATTATATTTCAATTTCTAAATATGGTTGATGACAAAAAAAAATATTATAATAAATATATCTGTTTAATAAAGTTTGTTTTGTTTAAATAAACCAAAATATAGTGCCTATATTCACTGAGAAATGGATAAAAATATTCATTTTCAAAATGGGGTGTACTCAATTATGCTGAGCACTGTATATGTATACCAGCACTGACTGATACACATTCACACGCATATCTGAACATGATGTTTCTGCAGTCCTGCTGTACGTAAGGAGAGAAGCTGATGAGGTTTTTGATGCACTGATGCTGAGGTCTCCAACGCTGAAAAGTTTACTTGAAGCTGTAAGTACAATGTCACATGGAATTTACACTTAAATAATAAAAGGTGCTGTTATTTCTTTCTTAAAGGTGCAGTTTAGGATTGAACTAAGTATTGAGTGGTTGAACTAGGTATTTATTCATTCATTTTCTTGTCGGCTTAGTCCCTTTATTAATCTGGGGTCGCCACAGCAGAATGAACCGCCAACTTATCCAGCACGTTTTGACGCAGCGGATGCCCTTCCAGCCGCAACCCATCTCTGGGAAATGAACTAGGTATTGCTGTCCGAATTCAAAACACTAGAGAAGGGTTTTTTTCACCCGACCCCTCATCTGACGACTTCACGCAAATGCAGGTTGCCAGATTGACAACACCAACAGAAGTGAGCGTGCCTGACTATTGAGCCCACAATGTTTGCTAACTACACGTGACGACAAATGATCAAAGGGAATATTTTGCCATGTTAAAGGAGTTTTTCGATCTAACCAACTGCGACAACGACATCTGATATTACTATTCTAAAAATGGTTTCTTTTTTCTGCGATATTGTAGCTAAACATCAGTATAATCAGGGCTTTACATTAACCCCTGCCAAATGCGGGTAGATTTCAGCCTTGGCGGGTTAGACAGCCGCTCCCATTAGCCACTTTGGCAGGTTGGAAATATTTTTTACATTGTAATTTTCTTAAAGCAGAGTTCGACTATAAGGATGGCCCAATATGCCTGCAAATGTGATCTTAGAATCGAGAAGCAGCATGACTGACAACAACTGTGGTCGCACGTGAAAAAGCAGGTGAATACCTTATCAGAGGATGATTACTCGCGCGCACAGGTGATGTGATGCGCGCGACTGTTAAAAAGCACACGCTCCCGTTTACTTGCGCGAAACAACCGTGTGTAAAGGAAGCACAACTGGTGCGATCAGTTCTCTTTGAAAAAATTGGACAAAAAATGATGCTGGTGTACCCTCAGTCCTGCTGCTTTTAAGAGCTCAAGATTAAAATATATATAAATATCCTTTTGTAAGCAGCAGCAGCAGTCACTGCTTTCATTTTAAATATTCTCAGGCACGTAATCATCCTTTCATTATTACTCCTGGTAGGTTTTTACCTGCTTTCTTTTGCGTACAGTTATTTTTGTTAATATAGTTTAATTATCATCCTTTACAATAACATTTCTTTAATATGAGATTAACTCCCCATTTGTGTGTAGTAACTGCTGATCTGGGACCTTTAGCCCGGACAGATTACTGTGCATATTTTAGATACATGACAATAGATCTTTTTAAATGTTAATTTAAAAAAAAAAAAAGAAAAGTTTTGTTGAATAAAAAGCGCATGTATACAGCTATATATTTGCTTGTTTTGACACATTTAAAATATGTGGCTAAGAAATTTTTTTTTTTCTTTTTGGTGTGGTTAGAGATAAATTTGGTAAAAC